TTGGGACCTACGACCCCTGCCATATTTTACTGCCAAATCCTTAGTTTTGTCAACTTTTACTTGCAGGCTCAATGGAGAGCAACAAGTTTGTTGAGCATGGATTGGAGCAATTCCGGCGTCTCTGCTAGTAATGCCATATTTTCCGCGTACATGAATGTTTTTATTATGGCGCCATTTATGTCGATGCTGCCGGGCAGAAATCCAGACACATCGTCTATATATAAAGAAAATAGGACGGGACTAAGTAGCCATCCCTGTTTGACTCCTGTATTATTTGGGTAGCACTCAAAGGGGTGGGCACCTTCCCAAACTGCAAAAGTGTTTTCCGAGCAGATTCCAGCTATGGCATTAGCAAGAAGCGAAGAGATTATCAAGGTGATAGGACTTGGAGATTGAAGAAAAAATAATAGCGCTGTCGATCGTCGAGTAGTTCTTCTTGAAGTCGAAATGGAACTCACATAGGATGCTGTTTACTAATACCCAGTCCGTAAGACGTCTAAGTAATATCAAAGCAAAGAGTTTCACAGACGCGTTCAAGCATGATATTCCACTATAGTTTCCTGCTTAGGAGGGGTTTTGCTAATGTTTACTTCAAAAGGGCGTTAAATTTCAGGAGGCAGGGTCGAGCGGTAATTTTATCCAGATGTATACATCTCGCGCGCTCGCACTGCCGTCCGCTCGCCCTTAAGTCTTCGCTCTACTCTGGAGCGCTTAAGTTAAGTTAGGCTTAAGTAGTGGTCTTTTCCAAGTGATCAATTAAACATATATACACGTCGCGTAAAAACCCCAAAGTACCCCCGTGTTTTCTGCGTACCATTCGATCTTGGGGCTTCACCTATTTTCAACGATCAAGCCACCCCGCCCCAACATTTTGGACCAATCGAAGCCGGATTTCAAAATCTTTGGATGTTCCTCTCCTGGAGTTTCCTTTGATTTTGTCCCAGTAGGCTTGAAACGCTTCAGATAAGTTCCTCTTACTATAATTGCCGGTCATACAGCCAGTTTTTCGAACCCTATTTCGACAAACTTTCTGTATGATATATTGTCTAAATCCAAAAGTGATTAATCCGACGCAACGGCATTGAATATATGCATTTCAATTCCGTTACTTGTGCCCGACAATTTTCCAGTTTCCTTTGCCCACAATTGTACACTGGAAACAATTCCAGAAGATATTTCAGTGCTACTATTCAACTAAAATATTTCTCAAATATATTTTCAATTCCAATTGTCTGTAAAATATAACTCAGCCACAGTAAAGAATTCCCGACCATACAACTTTTCCTTAAGATTTGCACTCTTTATTTTTTACTGTGTTCCAGCTGCGTGTGTATATTTACATAAATATTCTAATACAGTCCACTCTAACTACTCGTTCTAATACAGTCCACTCCAACTACTTTTCTCGACCTACACATACGGCTAAACTATTTCTAAAATTAAAAACAAAGTTACAATATCCACAAATTTACTCCAGCAAATCGTTTGCAATTTTTACAATCTTGATTGGTTCCTAAATTCCAATTGGGTTCAAGCCCGTTTTCTTACTTCTGAATTAAAATTCTAAATTACTTTACGTCATGGCAACATCAGTAAAATCCGCTTTAACCCGATTTATGGCCACACCTGACTGTCTGATCCACTTTGAGGCCACTGTGAACGCTCCAGGTGCTCCTACCCCAACGTTATCCGCCTGTGAAATCCGACGAGATCACTTCAATTCCTTGTTTCAAACGGTAAAGGAAGCATACGACGTATGCTCCGACTGCATTATAGCTGCAGGCGAGAGCGCCGCAGACACGAAATCCATACTAAAGTCCTAGTATTACCAAACGTACTCCACTTATGAAATATTTGCCGCGCAGCTGATGAAACAAATCCAAAAAGGCTCCTCCCAAATACCTCAAGCTCCAGTAACTCCGTCCCAAAATTCCACGTCGTATGGCTGTCGGCTCCCTCCTATCGACACAGAGGTTTTCTCTGGCGATTATCTTCGCTGGCCGACTTCCCGGGACCTTTTCACGGCAATATACATAGACAATCCGAGTCTAACGCCCGTTGAAGAATTATTCCATCTAAATTCAAAAACAAGGGGCGAAGCTTATTCCATAGTTTCAAGATCCCCACTCACCAATGATGGCTTTCGCTCGGCCTGGAATAACCTAACTGAGCGTTTCGAAAATAAGCGATTGCAGGTGAACAGTCACCTGAAAACACTTTTCAATGTGCAATCCATAGCAAACTCCATGACAAAACTACTTAAGCGCACTCTCTCTTTTTATGGGAGCAGTCCATCCAAAAATAAAGACGAAATTCCTACGTGGCTTGAGCTTGATTCCTATTTGATGGAGCGCCATCGAACTCTTGAGGCCGTCGATAGCTTCCGAACTGCCAATTTCCACCACGTCCAGTCCAAAGACAAAAATCGAGTGGCAGAATTTCGAAAAATAAATTCCTTCAACACAAGGCTAGTTCCGATACCCAATGGCTGCGATCTGTGTTCGAAAAAGAACCACCCAGTGCGTTTATGTCCACGCTTCCTACAAATGACGGTAGTCGATTGCCTAGCCTATATTCAAAGGAATCAGTTGTGCTCCAATTGCTTTGCAAGCAGCCATCAATTCCGGGATTGCACAAGCGCTCACAACTGTCTCACTTGCCAGAATCGGCATCACACATTGCTGCATCGAAACAGCGGCCCTACTACTCCGCCGACTACATCCGATCTTCCAAGGCCAGTATCCGCCTCAGTACCACACATCATTTCGTCCTATTCAGCGCAAGTTTCCGTACAAAAAGTCCCTCCTAAGAATACTCCATCCGAATATTGCGTTCAATACCCCGCCTTGGATGGCAGACGTACTCGAGGTATTAAATCCTACCAATGCCGAGTCTGCCAACAAATCCATCCTCTACGGAAGTGCCACCACTTTCTACGGCTAAGCCCCCAGAATCGGCTTCAGGAAGTACATGTCCAGAAGTACTGCTCCAATTGCTTGGCTCACAATCATTCCAAGGATTCCTGCCGCAGTGGTCATCACTGCCACAAGTGTGGAAAGGGCCACCACACTCTCCTACATACGGACGACCGATCTTCACTTCCAACATATTCTTAAACTTACTATCCTGAGGTTCTTGCTACGGGTGTCCTCGCAGGGGGGGGGGGAGAATGTTTACGTCAAAAGGGCGTTTAATTTCAGGAGACAATGTCGAGCGGCAGATTTATCCAGATGTATACATCTCGCGCGCTCGCACTGCCGTCCGCTCTCCCTCTCCATCTCGCCCTTAAGTCTCCGCTCTGCTCTAGAGCGCTTAAGTTAAGTTAGGCTTAAACAGTTCTTATTTCAAAGTGTACAAATAAACATATATGTACGTCGCGTAAAAACCCCGAAGTACCCCCGTGTTTTGATTCGATCTTGGGGCTTCACCTATTTCAGCGATCAAGTCACCCCGCCCCAACAGCTAAAGAACCGGAAAAATTTCTAAAAAGTGAGAAATTGCGTCGGATAGAGAAACAAAATATACTGGAGTAACCCAATATAATTAAAAAGACGCTGAATCGTTTTAATCCCGATTCAAATAGCATGTTTTGAAAAATATCTTTTGAGTTAAAAAAAAAATGGGCTTAGATTTATAAAGTAAAAAGGATACCGATGCGTTTAATTGATTTATTTGAATGGAAGAAGCTAAAAACTTGCTAACGAGACATGCGTGTTTTTCTCATTTATTTAAATCATTACGAAATGGACTTCTAACAGGTTACTTTTAAAGTTATCAAAGAATTGTCGAAAAAAAAAGTCCATCCAAAATGTGTCCAAAATTAACAAAAAAACACATTTTTCCTAATTCTTTTTAAAAATGAGGGTTAAGTATGCGTTTCAATTATTAAGCAAAACAACAAAAGCGGTTAGCAAATTTATTTGTGACACTGCATCGTTCATAGTAAAGGTAGATACAATATTTGATTGCATGAACAGTGGCTCCTTATATGGTGACAACTTGTATCGCTCTGCTATACAGCTTAACAGCAAATCATTTACCTTTATCAAGTACATTCTTAGTTATCTTAAAAATGTCAAGTTTATAGACTCGAAAGGAGTACATTTTTAAGATGGTATGGAACTATCTTTGAAATCGGTAATTTTACTGTCCGGTGACCTACTGAAAGATAGCTCAAAGTTCTTTATAATGAAAAAATCCTTTAATCAAGATTGTTTGGAGAATTCGTTTGCTGTTTTAAAAAAATTATTTATAATAATCCGTCTGTAGCAGAGCTTAATGTGACGATAGCTCTAGCTCATCTAGAAGTTACTGAAATTTATATCCTACTCCGTGCGAGCTCTACCGAATCAGCACCTTAAAGAGGACAGTCAATGTGATATAAAAACCTCAGAAGATATAGCTCGAATTTGTAAACAAAAATATTGTGCCTGAAATATGTTTTATAGGATGTGCTGCATTTAAAATACTTCCTCTATTAGATTGTAAAAAAACTACCACTCCGATACGGACTTTGGAAACCTAGTATCTCCATTACAAGTTTTAATAAAAACCTCTTCAAAGCACATATCTATCTTCTATACAATTTTCAAGTTATTTAAAAATAATTGGGTGAAATTTAGTTTATATTTATCCCTAATTTTAAATTTTTACTATTACGCTTCGTTTTGAAAAGTCGCCGAAGCCTGTGGCTCCCAGAATTTTCCTGCTAGAAAAAAAGTGTTAACTGAAGTGTATTAGGCTCGTCAGTACCCATCGATTGACATTAAACCCGTGGCGCCCGTAATTTTCATGCTAGAAACAAAATGTTAACTGCTTTTTATGGCTTATTTAAAAATGGCATGCATGATAATCTTTAATACAGAGAAAGTAAAATTTAGTTCCTTTCGTTGCGACAGAGACGGTTGCGTTTTTACGTCCCATGATGCGTCGCTTCGGACTTTCCTTCCCAAAATCCAATTAACAGTTCTAACCAATTTAATATTTATATTTTCTTTCAGGAAAGTCTGGAATTGCTATCAATCTTATAACGGATGAGAAATCTATGAAGGTGTGCACGGATATCGAAAAACACTTTAAAAAGAAAATAGAAATATTGAATACGGATAGTGCCGATGACATTGAAAAAATTGGCACATAGTCTTATTGTTATAATCAAAATAAAAATGCATTTCAATATTACTGGGTTGTGTATTAAAAGTGTGTTTTAGATAAACGTTATTCGAAGTTTTGACAAATTTAAGTTTGGCCACGTTCTGCTCGCGAAGTTAACCTGCGGCTAGTTTAAAGAGTTTGTAGTTTCTTCTCATTAAATTTATACTGACTGCCCGCGCCCAAATGAGTAACGCAGGCTACGTTATTATACCCGTTACTCGTAGAGTAAAAGGGTATACTAGATTCGTCGGAAAGTATGTAACAGGCAGAAGGAAGCGTTTCCGACCCCATAAAGTATATATATTCTTGATCAGGATCACTAGCCGAGTCGATCTAGCCATGTCCGCCCAAAACTGTGGCTTCTACAGTTTTGATGCTAGAATAAAAAATTTTAATTTTAATTTTAACTGAAATGTAATGTTCTCATCAATACCTATCGATTGACCCAAAAAAAAGTTTGCCACGCCCACCCTAACGCCCATAAACCGCCCACAAACTTCAAAAAATCGTAAATATGAACGTGGATATCTCGGAAACTATCAAAGATAGAGAATTGGGATTTCAGATTTAGATTCCGTAGCCTTATACGCAGCGCAAAACCTGTGACGCCCACAATTTTTATGCTAGATAAAAAATTTGAACTGAAATGTATTGGTCTCGTCAATACCTATCGATTGGTCCAAAAAAAATTTGCCACGCTTACTCTAACGCCCATAACGCTTAAATCTGTATACCGCCGGTAGGTGGCGCATTTTAATCTCGCTTTTCTACTTGCATATCTCTATTTAGCTGAGTAACGGGTATCTGATAGTCGAGGTACTCGACTATAGCGTTCTTCCTTGTTTTGTATTGTTGTATTTGTTGCATGCAGGAAATGACGACCTTGTTAGCTGGTCGCTGGCTCAATGACGATGAAGACGCTCATCCGCGAGCTAGTCGATGAGTGCTCCGACATTGAACCCCACAAGATGCTGGGTGGACGTACTTTTCGGCTTTATCACGGCATTAAGAGAAAGGTAATAAGTGGAAAATCATGGTTAGGTACGACCTTTCATATGTGGTTTTTTAGATGTAGTTCGTTTCTTTTGAATTGAGCCAACGCCAAGGATCTGGAGTATGCAAGGGGGACACTACGCGCTCAGGATCAGAAAATGGTAGGCTTACGAGGAGCCTGCCACTACCGTCTCTCGTGGTAGTACGGTTAATATTGTCCTCACAAATCTAAAACCACCTACCAGAATTTGTTGAGAAGTTTGTCCAAGAGTTTTTTAAATGCAAGGGAAACGTGAAGGAAAATCGTATTTTGCCTTGAAGTAGGCCCTGGCTATGTAAAAATATTGTAGACTTTTTTTTGTGATCAAGGGGTCTAACTTTACTAGAGACTACCGTCATCCTTCTCGGAGCACATTGGCATTAAACTAGTGTAATTTAAGGCTAGCGCCGGTCGAAAAATAGTTCCACCGAAATGACAAAACGAGTGGCACCATAGTTTCCAATTCACCCCTTAAGCCTAGTACTCACATCGACATCGAGCTAACCATAGGAGTGAGCGAGAGGCAAATACGCGGCTAACGCTTTCGTCGGATCTTTTTTTCAGCGCGGTACTCAGAAGAACTAAGGAAATACCACAAAAAATAACTGATTTAGCGAGTTCATTTTTATTGTCGCAGATAGCCGCGGCCCAAAGAATAAGAAATTTAATCTTTCGTGCAAGATTCTGGTGGAAACAAAAATTTAAAAATGGAAGGAAAACCCCAATAACGCCTGCAAGATGCAAGTGCAGATAAAAAGGATGCCTAATCCAAGCTGTTGCTGTTGTGGGACTTCACTGACAAGAAGCAATACCACAACAGTGCCAGAATCCCAAGTGGACATCCGGCCGGGCGTCTCCTCGCAAGGAAAGTAAGTTCTGGCCAAAGGAATTTGGTTACATGTTACGTACGCCCTCTATATAGAAAGATTCACATAGAGAAACAACGACGAATCTTTAGCCAGGGGGAGGGGTGCATGTGACTAACCAGACTCATACTGGTAAAGGCAGAAGAAAAAGCAATTCGGCAATTCTCGGGTGTCGCGTGGCCAGAACAACGGCCACTATCGACCTATTGGTAACCATACTCCGGTAGCTGGCAAAGGGCAACAGGTGTGTCTCAGATCCCCCCGAACTTATTTTACGTGGCGTGTTCCACAACGGAGGGATTACAACCACGGCATTCTATGTTGTTATATAACGCAACATCCACGTCGAGCCCGAGGACTCTACCCGCGATAAAGGTGTCAACCACAGCCACCACGATACTCCCACTAGGGCGCCAACCTCAAAAAGCAGCCTTGGGACTGCTCAACCCGTGGTACCGAAATTACAGGCTCGGTAGGCCTCACCCCTTCAGCTCCGACAAGCTCGGATGGGGCAACCATTGCCATATTAGTCGCCTCCTACGACAAGCTATGGCAGGCTGTGGCAGTATTCATCGCCGCTACCACACGCCTGCGAGTCATCCCTCGTCGCATCCATCCTTCGCCTCGAGAAGGCAGCGTCGGCAGAAACTCCTAGGAGACGCATCCGTTCTGGGGTCTCGACTACTCAAGCGACGATCCATCTTCCCTGGTCTCGAACGACCCCAAGGGCATCCAGGTCCCGCAAATCGTTGTACAGGCGGCAGTCACACAGTATGTGGAGTCAGTCCTCTCTTGCCACGCCACATGAGCATGGGGTCGTGGTGCTGAGAGTCCTGCCCTGTCAGCAAGAATCTTTCCTCTTGTAGACAAATGCTGCCTCTGGGAAGAGCTCGCGAGTCACGGAGCGATACGTGACACGTGTTCCGCGCGATCCCATCTGAGTTGCCACTCATTTAGCAGACGTTCGTCTAGCAGAAACATCTTAGCTTTCCAGTCCAACACGGATAAGTCCTGTCCGTGGAGCCAGTCGCTCTCATTCAGGGGAACGTCCTTCCTCAGTTTGAACTTTACTGCAATCCTGTGAGCGTCCAGATCCATTGGAGGAGCACCAGCAAGCACCTGCAGTGCCACGGTGGAGACTGTGCGGCATACCGGTAGGCATCCTAAAAGAATGGACCTCTGGCACGAGGTGAGGATTTTAAGGGACTTGCCCCTACTCGCCGCCTTGTACCAGACCGAGGCACCAAAGAGTGCACAGGGGACCATGAGTCCGCTGTAGTTCGTCCTCTTAGCACGGGAGCTGAACCCCCAATCGACTCTGAGCACCCGCGCTAGCCCTCCGGCAACTCCAGCCAGCCGATCTCAGCCGATCTCAGAGATATGCGGGAGAAAACTCAACCGCTCGCCGACTAAGATGCCAAGGTACCGGCATTTGGTGACATAAGGCAGGCTTGCTCCAGCAAACCGTACCGTCGGTCTCCTTGTGCGTGAAAGCTGGCATTTCAGCAACATTATTGCCGTCTTGCTGGTTGACACACTCACTCCAACCTTAGCTCCCCAGGCTCACACGATATCCATCAACTGCACGCCCTTCCGCTCCAGATCGGCACGAGAATTCCCGTCGACGAAAAGCAGAAGATCATCTGCAAACGCGCTCAGAGCACAATGTGGCTCCAAGCGCTGAAGCAGCACATCCATCAGTAGGTTCCAAATAAATGGACCACTGACGGACCCTTGCGGGCAGCCACGTGTAACCGCAACTGTGGCTGCTTCATACCTGCTGATGATGCTTGCGCTACGGCCGGAGAAATAGCTTTTCCACAAGTCGATTTCTCCACTCCACGTTGTCGAAAGCTCCCTTGAAGTCGACAAAGATTCCAAGGACTCTCCTCTCGCGACTGTTGGCGACGGTGTTTTTGGCGTGCATCCGCGCATCCTCCACGCAGCGTCCAGGCCTGAATCCGAATTGCCATCTGCAGCCATCCGGTAGCACATCCTTCAGTCGATTCACCATGATTCCTTCCAGCGCCTTTCCGAACACTGGCAAGAGGCATATGCCACGATAAGAGGCAGGATCGCTCCTGTCCCATTCTGGCCCCTTTACCAGCGGTATCACTCTCAGGTGCTTCCACTCGGCCGGAAAGTATCCTTCCGAAAGGCACCGAGAGTACAGCTTCGTCAGGTGCTGAGGGATGGCACGCCATACCTCCTTGAAAATACCGCCCGTGATGTCATCCACACCCGGCGATCGCCGGCTTCTCAGCCTTGCGACGCTGGTTGCCACCTCGAAGGCTTCGAGGATCGGTGGGGCACCAGGGGGTAAGTCCTCTCGTGCTGTCGACTCCACAACAGGGAAGAAGTTGCGGAGGAGCACATTGGCGCAGTCGTGCCAAGTTACGGAAAGCGCGCCGTTCAACCGGAGACATCCGAGATCGGCTGTCTTCTTCCGGCCTCGGCGTATCCGGTAGACGTGTCCCCATGGATCATCCTTGTGCCGTCCCACGAAGTCCCGCCAGTTTTGCTCCTTTGTCGTCAGGATGAGCTTCTTGTACTGGCCTGAGGCAAATCTCAGTCCAGCGGCAAGTTGCTCAGCATCGTCGGTGCCACTCCGGCGAGCTGCCTGCAGCCTACGCCTCAGTCTCCTGACCTCTTGGCGCTTGGTACTCAGTTCAGGATTCCACCATATTACGTTTCCCCTCGCTGCAGGTATCCTGCGCCCTATCACCCTGTCGCTCCATCGTACACGATGGGCAGACACATGGTCGTCCAACGGCGATTCCTCCAGTTCCTCGAGACTCTGTGCTGCACTCCTTAAATCTACACTGAATCTTCGCCAACTTGCATTGGAGACATTCCATTGCGGTACCGGAGCTAGGCTCTCAACGGTACTGCTCGGATCTGGAGTAACCTCAACAGTGATAAGTCAAGTCCCAGAAGTCAACTCTCCAATCGTAGGTTGCCCATACTCGCACCGCTTCGTTGGCGAAGGTCACGTCGATATCACTTCTAGAGAGGTGATTATCGAACGTGAACACCTGGCTGGCCGTATTCAGTACACTGGCACCGCTTGCAATTATCCACTCGTTCATGAGCTGTCCCCGTTCGCGGTTCAGGCGGTCTCCAGA